AGTGACCGTGAAATTACTCTGACGTGATCACGGAAACCACCAACTAGACGTAGCAATGCAAGAACTCGAGTCAATGGACAACTTAAGGCGAGATTCTGAGAAAATATTTAGCGGCCCTACAACCCTTATCGAAGATTGTGTCTGACCAAGAACTGAAGCCATTTGACCATCAATAAGCGTCCATTTATTCGCGGTGATTGGCTCTAGACAAACTCGAAAATGATAAGCGATTTTTTTCAAAAAATAAATCTTTTTCGGGATGAAGGTCATTTTTGGTTAAACGGCGGCTTTGGGGAATAAGCACAAATTGTCGTTTTTGGAGATGGAAAAATAATCCACAGATAAAAATTCTTGAGAAGCCTTTGCTATCCAGTAAAAAGGGTCACTGTTCTGGTGTGGTTTTATGGCATTGGTGGCATCATCCGGGGACCTTATTTTATTTCGAAACATGGTGTTACTGGTCCAGCGGGGGAAATGTATGCCCCCCCCCCCCCAGCCCCCCCCCCCCCCCCCCCCCCCCACCCCCCCCCCCACGCTGATAACAGATTTTTGTGTGCCTCAGTAATGGATTAAATGGATTTGGATGCGCATGTTTTTTTTTAACAGGACAGTGGCCACATGTCACACTACTGCCCCAACCATGATTGATTGAAGGAAAGTTCCCGGAATCATTGATTTCTCCTTGATGCCAGGAGAATTCAGCAACTTCGACCAGATGCTTGGCCTCCAAGAAGCTGCGATTTAACAACTGTTGGATTATTTTTTTATGGGGCTACGTTAAGTCATTGGTCTATGTGAACACATTCTGCTGGAGACTTGAAGAGGAACATAGAGAACACCATTCGTGAGATTAATGCGGATATTTTGCATAAAGTGACCGAAAAATTGGATAATCGATTTGCTACGCCAACGTAGTCGCGGTGGACGATGTGTTATTCCGAACATAATTGTTATTTATTATATTTTGAAATAATTTTTTTTTTGATTTACAGCAATTTTTGCCGTTTTCGTTAAAAAAAACCATAGGAACATTCATTATAGGGAGACCTCTTACTTGAAATTTAATGATTATAATCTTTTTATATGAATTGCATTTATTTAGTAGTTTTTTTAGAAAACTGTCAACTAAAATTTCCAGGGCGTTATATTTAAAATAACGAATAAAAATTTAGTATGATATAACCGGAAGTGGTGGGAAGCTCTAAATATTTTAGATTAATTGAACATATTCTAAAAACTCCTCAATTCTAAATTTTCAGATATTATGTCAAGGTTCTTTGAAACGAACTGGAATTATGAAAGTATAATTATTATTATATTCTGTTAGATTGAGGTATTAACATATTTACCTAAAAATGCCCAATATGTTGATAATGGAAAGATAAATGAAAAAACAGAAGAAGGAAAATAATTTTGTAATAAATAATTTTCAACCAGAAGCAAGCCAATTTTAGTAAAGCAATTCCAAAACAATTTTAACCGAAAATCTTTACAAACAAAATACACAGCAAGTCAATACACGAAAGTAGGTTTTCTGTCAAAAGAAGTAAAGATATATACACCAATAGTTAGAAAGCAAACATGATACAGCACTTTTTATATCAACGAAGTGATAATTAAAAATGTCCATAGATCTAGCTCATAGAGAAGAAAAAAAATTATGAATGAGTAATGAGTTCATAAACATTTCAGTAAAAGCTTTTAATTTACAAAACTTAAGCTGCTTCTAGTAAACAGGAACAGAAACAGAGAATGTAAAATAATCTACATATTTAGGCCAACAACTTCATATTATACAAGGGAAAAATAAAATCCGAAAGATGACATCTTTCGATGAGATGTATACATGAGAATGAGAAGAGGTTTGATTAATGAATGAAAGTAATGATATGAATAAGCATTCATCCAACCATTGGCATAAAGCGTCGAAGAATATAAAAGTTGTAGGTGTTACATCTACAACATTATGAATTAATATTGTAATGGCTAAGTTAGACAAAGCTTATATTAGAATTAGCATGCCCATGCAGTTATAAATCAATTTCTTTACTTACCAGCGATAGATATTAAAAAAAAAAAACACCAAGAATATATCAAGCAAGTATGCATAATATCAAAATGCAGATATAGTACCATCAACTTATTATTTTTGATTAATAAAAGAGGAAATTGATGCCTCGGTGCGATCAAGTGTGTTAACTATCTTATAAATTCTGGTACGAAGTAATCTCCCTTGACCCTCCTATATGTGATTGATATAGCGATAACGGTAAAATTACTCGTATTATTTAGTAATTTATATCTTAAATTAATCACGACATTGAGTTTGGGACATTCTTTGTATATGCGCACTTGGACTAGTAAGCACCACGTTTTGTGAACAATTTGCTATTGTGACAATGAAAAAAATTAGGTTTTCCTTAAATTGAATTAATCAAAAATTTCAATCAAATTCGCAGTATTAAATAATTTATGAATTAAAGGAAATCACTTGACACATAGCCCAATCGGGATCTGTTTTGAGTTGGTTGGAGTCAGCCGGGCGTTAGTAGATATAGCACAGGTTTCCTCGCGCACTCCCTAAAATCGCATCCTTTAAAATAGTATGTGCCGTGCGCATCGGAGCATGCCAAAAGGACATTATATTGTATCTTCGTTTCTATTAATCCGATTATGACGTACGAGGGCTCATTGGAAAGGGGAGGGGACAACGAATACGTTGTAGGCAAATAAAAACAAAGATGCGGAATTGCCAAAAGGACACTAAGCTTGTGTAACGTCTAAACGGCTCAACGTACAACAATGTGCAAAGTATCGATGGAAAGAGGAGGTGGTAACGAATATGTTAAGACAAAAAGCAAAACGCAAAGAAATTGCCAAAACGGCACTACAGCATATCTCCGTAGTTATTGGTCAGATCGTGACGTTTGAGGTATCGTCGGAAAGGAGTGAGGGGGTAACAAATGCGTAGGACAGAAAAACATATCGAGTATTGCAAAAGGACACTAAGCATGTACGTCTAAACGGCTCAATGTACAACAACCTGCAAGGTATCGATGGAAACGAAAGATTGTGTTTCATCCATCGCAATCTTTTATTTTAATGAAAAACCAGTTACGTGACTTGATGAATATAACTAGTACAGTACGACAGCTTCATATTTTAGTTATAATTTTTTTACCAAAAGCGGAATGTTAACTTAAGGAAACGGAAATGGCGAAATAAACTGTGTTTTAATACTCAATAAGTCTCAATACATCCATTAAATCCTATCAAGTGGCACCTCGCATGCCTATGTACGTTAAGCCGTTTGAGCGCTACATACCTAAGGCCCCTTTGACAATCCATCATCTACCTCCCAACCATTCATGATTTACTTCTTGAGCTATCTCTCTTCCAAAAATCCCCATACAACATGATCACACGTTTGCTTATCCTCACCACCACAAAAAAAATAAAAATGAGCAGATTGAAACCAACAGCGTTTTTAATCTGTTTTCCATAAAAAATAACATGTGGCGTCCTCCACAAAATACGCCGTAAACGACATAGCCCCTTTACTAGATTGTTTTGTCCATCAACTATAAAGAATCTAGTTTTGAAAGAACACCGCAATTCTTCACAATTATAGTGTTTCATTAAATTGAGTAGTGATTATTAGTCCAAACGCAATATATTTGATAGATGAGTATTTGATTATTGTGTAAAAATAGTATTCACCATTAGTTTGTGCAGTTCTGTACAAAAGTGCGGTCTGTTTTAAATATTTTTAATAAATCGACTAAAGCAATAGAAACCATCACCTGTTATAATTGAAGAATTAAAGGGGTTGTGATATTCATAATGTCTACCAATTTGTTACTCAACACTTAATTCAAAATCTATGAAA